AAGTTTACAGTCTGCTCGTCACCCCACGGAAGAGAGGGGCGGGGTGAGCAGAGCATATTAGCATTTAAAGCAACATGGACTAGAATGGCTTGCTGAAAACAGAGCTGATTTTGACAGGTAAAAAAGGTGTTTTTTACACTACCATTGAGAAATTTTAACCAAAGTATGTTATAGACTTTTCATTAAGACCCTAAAGAATCATATTAACTTGTGGAAAATGGGCATCCGAGGACCCCTTTAATCCCAGCAAGGCTACAACAGTGATACTGTATATTGCGTTTATACAACAGTTTGATGGCACACTTGTGTAAATAAATAGGAAAGAACCACAGAATGTCTTAAAAAAAACCCTCTTGTGTGTTGAACTATTTCCATCCACCACAGATTCAAATCTCAAGTTGACAGTTTAACAGCTGAGCCCAAGCTTTCGTTACTAATTTGAAAATATCTCTTTAGAACTAGTAACGAAGGAACTCTGATTTGCTTCATTGACAATAATAGCTTAATGTGTTGTGTAGAGTATTATGAAAGAGAGATCGACTAAGGTAGTGTGATTACCTTCTTCTGATACAGAATTCATTCTTCATCTCATATTCAGAATAAAACATTAGTTTGAATGTCTACTGAGGAAAGTGATATCTTTGTCAAAGTATTCTTTCAACTGTTGATGACACTTGTCAAAACATCTGTTGGCTGTGTCTTACAAGGTGTTGTTGAAAGAAAAAAAAATAATGTCCTTGTTTACAACCTTGTTTCAGTCGCTTTCAATATAAAAGTATTTGCTGCTGACTCACTAATTGTGCTTCACGCATCCTGAAAAGTGAGGCCAAAACATTTTGATCGTCATCTGGTGGCTGCCTGCAGCAAACCCCACCCTCCCCATGTAAATGAATGGGACATGAGCCAAACTAAATAATCAAAATATCACTTCAAATAAATATTTCCCAGAGATGGTTTCCATCATTTTAGGTAGTTCTTATCATGCTGATTTATGTGCATATTCATTTTTGTAATAAGTTTACTTTTAGTTATTTGATGCTATAAAAACGGGTTGTGGAGTCATGATTGTAGGCTTACGATTGGGTCTGCTGGAGTTTTATTGGGACTTTGATACCGTACATCCAGCTCATTATAACTATTGTCAGGCTCTGGTTCTAAATTACATCATACATGCATTATATATACAGTATATATATATATATAGTTTCTATGTAGTTCCACATTGTTGTTATTATGACTTGATTACATTTGTCTGGAACTTTCAGTCAAATTTTTATTAAAAAAAATTTATTTAACAGCTGCAGAAAAGTTCCTTGGGGAGAGCAAGAGACATGAAATATTCAAGAAGAAGAATCTGAGGGCACGTGTGTGTGGGTGGAGAATCTTCCAGCTGAGGCCAACAACAAGATCCTGCTGGAACTGTATTTTGAGAAATGTGGTGATCCAGTAGAGGAAGTTATCACAATTCCATCAGCACAAACAGCCATTATTATCTTTGAGGAAGAAGGTAAATTTAAATTCAATTTCAATTTATTTATAAAGCATTTCTAAAACAACCTTAGTTTACCAAAGTGCTGTACACAATTACATTGACCCAATCACACAATAAAATGAACACATCATTAGAAAAACACAGTCACAAAACATTAAAAGCATGGGAGGAAAATATACGTTTTTAAAATACTTTTAAACTCAGGCACTGAAGAAGCTGTTCTGAGAGATTATGGCAAATTATTCCAAAGCTTGGGGCCAGCAACAACAAAGGTTGCTGAAATGTCACCCCTACATTTCAATCTAGATCTAGGAACCAAAGCAGATGCTTAGTCTGCATGTGATCTGAGTGATCTGGCTGGATTGTGTACAATAATCAACTCAGAGAGATATGGAGGAGCAAGGTTGTTTAGAGCTTTGTACACAAACAGCAGAATGTTTAATTTAATGCAATAATAAATCAGTAGCCAGTGCAATGAGCATAAGATAGGCGTGATGTGATTCCATCTGCGACTGCCTGTGAGCAAACAAGCAGCCACATTTTGGACCAGTTGCAGTCGATGAATATATGAGACAAGCAGCCCATAGTATCCCTGCAAACAAGCCTGCACTGGCCCTTTACGGGCCCACTTAGGGCTAGCCTAAAGGCCCCCAGCAGACTGCCAGCGCAGGGCCTCTGAAATTTTGCTCATTGGCAAAACGTTGGCCCCTTAGTGCTGGCCCTGCACGGGCAGCCCTCACTTAGCCCACACTATTAATCTACAACAGGGGTGCCCGACCCTGAACCAACTATTTAGGATCTGAAGGAGCACTTGATAATTACACACAGGTTTGTTTAATCAGGGTTGGAACTGAACTATGTAGGAAGGTAGATCTCCAGGAACAGGATGCACCGCTGATCTATAACAATACATCTATTTCACTTTAAATACTTTTCAGCTACTATAACTTAAGTCTTTGGGGAAAACAGTTATTATACATCTGAAATAGATGCAGTCACTACATAACTAATGTCTATATTGTCAAAAATGTACAGTAGACAAAGGTATTTCAAATCAATGGATTTATTAAATACAAAATAGAAAACATTCAACTCAGGTTAATACAGCTACATATAGCCAAAAATGTAAATACACAAAAGTACAAAAAAAAAGCAAACAAAGCAATGTACGACTGTAGGATTTCGTCATGTGAAAGTTGATGGGTGTGAAAGTCTTATCTGTAGTACATCCATTTCCAAACACTGTCTGTAGCTGATGTTGACTGATATCAAATGAATAATTCAACCTCTTGTAATGAAACATGCCACAGCTCACAAACACCAGACTCTTCCTAACCAGGAACAATCAAAAATAGTCCAGACTATGGTCTCACGTCAAAAATAACTTTAAATATATTCAAACTGGACCATGATGTGGTGTCCTCACGAGGGGTTGCACCGACTAATCGACTAGTCGACTTCAATGCTCTGCCATGACGCTTTAAGCTTGACGTCGACTTCCATATTTACGCTCCATTTCCAAACAGTTCAAATGACAAATAAATGCATACTCTGAAATCTCTCCACAAGACTTGTGTGATTATATTACTCGATGCTCGAAATTGAACGGGAGAATGCACGTTTTAAACAGCTTATTGTACAGGTACGTTCATCATCGTTCTAATCTAATGCGCTGCTGCACTGTAACGCACACACACATAGGCAGACAGTAGCGCGTACATCACGCGCACATAATCATTCAGCGCGGAAATGTATTGTCAACACTGTTCTGTGATTTCTCAATAAAATAGCTTAGAAACTGAAAAGTTCAAGCATATATTTCTTAATAACTAAATTCCACAGCTTCACTACTAGTAGAGAGACGCTGCCAGGTAGAATTAATTCACACACGCAGTCGCTCTCAGCAGCGCTGTGTCATATGCCATAGCTGTGCACAAGGTGTTTAAGGTGTTTGTCACAGCTCCAGACTTATTTGTTCATTAATGACGTCATCAGCGACTAGTCGACTTCGACTCGACTTCCATCACATAAAAGTCGACTTCAAAAAATTAGAAGTCGTTCAACCCTTAGTCCTCACCAATAAAGAGTCCTTCAAAAATGCATACAAATACACTGTCTTTAACTCTAAGCATCAATCCAAACATAGGCCATACATACAGTATATGTACCATCTCTGCAAAAATAACATCAGCAATGTTCACTTTTAATGTACTCCTTTAGACTGGGCTTGAAATGACACATTTCCCAATCAGGACAATAGCAAGTTACAATAGTCAAGTCACAAAGAAATGAAAGCATGAATTACAATCTCAAAACTCTTCCTGCTTAGGAAGGTTTTAACTTTTGCTAGTCTTCGCAGATGGTAGAAGCTGGTACTCACAGTAGAATTAATTTGTTTATTCAGCTTTAGGTCGCAGTCCAGTATAAAGCCCAGATCCTTGATCTCTAAGATCTTAGACTGTACATAAATACTGTACATGTACTTTTGCTAGTACAGTTCTAGATTCAGTTGTAATACTTTTTCACCTAATTTTATTGATATCAATAAATGTACTCACTGCACCTTCAACTCTTTCTTTTTCAGTCAAATAGAGAGTTTTGAGGCAAAAGTATAAATTCTGTGCATTCCAGTCAAGATACATACATCCCTACTTTAAATCACTGGATACGGTCCTGTATGAGTGGCTGGTATCACACCCCTTGTGGTTTAATGTGGAGAGTGACATTAAGAAAGTAGTAAAATATCAACATATTTAACATTTAACATATATGGATGCCTCTAAAGGCGTGCTGACATTGGCAGGAGTGACCCATGAGATAATTCGTCTGAAACCCATCATGGAGATAATTTTAAAGAGAGCAACAAATCAAATGGAGAGAGAAAAGATATTTCTCCTGCCGTGTATTCTTTGCTTGAACAAGATGGCCTGAAAAATGTTTCAGCTGTTTCTCCACACCTGCACATTGACTACAAAAAAATAATAAAATAAAATTAATATACTAATTTTATCAGGTCTTCGTGTAGAAACACTTGCCTTCAAAAATTGAGTCCTTGAGAAGCAAATAAATATGAAACAGATGCACTAACAGATTGACTGTTCAATTCTGGAATTTCTGAGATCAGTGGATTGTGATGAAATGTCTCATGGAATAACTGCTGTCTACACAATCGAAAATGGAGATTATGTTGTGATTGGAAGCACAGAAAGAGCACTTGCTGAGGCAGAGAAGAGGGTGAATACAGTTCTTACAACCAAAAACCTCACTGTAAAAGATCAGTGTGTCCTTCAAATGCCAGAGTGGCTGGATCTCAAAAAACAACTGGAAAATTCATTCAGCGCTTCCAAAAATATGCCTGTGTTTTTCCAAATAGAGAAACAAACTAATAGTGGATTCAGAGAACCAGTGATGGAGGTCAGTGAGAACTTAGGACGTTTCATTGAGAAACACACTAGAATTGAAGTATAACTGTTTGTGTCTTTTAAGATCTTTAAAAAGGCAGAAGTAAATAAGTATTTCAAGGAGCAGGGTAAAAAGATGCTTTCAGTGCTGTTAAAGGAAAAAAAGATTTGTGGTGGTTCTTCAGGAAGATGATATGCTGGAAGAGAAGAAGGATGATTTAAAATCAGAATCAAATCATAACATCATAAAATAAACAAAATTTGGAGAAAGATAGGGTTCCTTGTAAGAATCAGATTGGGTGAGAAAATAGAGGATAAGGTCTGTTAATCAAAATTAAAGGTCAGTAAAATATTAATAAAAAGTAAGTGCATCATTTCAGTAAGACAATACTGAGAGGGAGGAGTAATGTGTATTTAATAGTTTTAAAAGGTTATTGTGTTTAAATTTAGTACAATTGTGTAATACTAATATTTTGTTAATGTTTATTAATCTTTAGATCAAAAGAGTCCAGAACAGCGCACTTTGGAGAAACTACATGATCAAAAAGGAGGAACTGGAAGACAAAAACAAACACACGAAAAATGAAAAGCGTCTCTTCCACGGCACTGGCCCTGATAAGACAGATCAGATAAACAATCACGGCTTCAATCGCAGCTTCGCTGGCATGCATGGTATCAGTCAAATTCAGTATAAACTTTATTTGCACTTGTATCCATTTGTCTTTTAAATCTATTGTCTATTGCTCTTGTTCTTTTTAAGGAGCCATGTATGGGAATGGAACATATTTTGCTGTGGACCCCAATTACTCAGCCCAAGGCTACTCTGCACCTGATGCCAAAGGACATAAACGCATGTACCTTGTCAGGGTGCTTGTTGGCGATTTCACTCAAGGAAAAAGAGGCCTTCTTGTTCCCCCTGCGAGGAGCTCCAATAGTGCTGATCTCTATAACAGTGTGACTGACAACATGAGCAACCCAACCATGTTTGTGATCTTCAACGATGTACAGGCTTATCCAGAATACCTAATCAACTTCCAGCAGGGCTGGGCCTAATATTAGGCCCTGGACAAATTGAGTCCATTCAGCTCATAATTTCTGGTAGGGTTAGGGCCTTAAATTTGAGTAAATTAATTAATAAAATATGACAGAAACAAATAATAATCTATATTATTGATTATACTGTTAACAAAGTTAATATTGCATTTTTTTGTCGCATACAAATACACATTTGACTGTAAAGCACTGATTTTGAGTAAAGTAAATTTACCGCTATTAAAGGGGTCATATGATGTTGCTAAAAAGAACATTATTTTGTCGTCACACACGGCGAGCTTGAGTGAGCGGCGGCCGGCGGGTTTGAGAACGGCGCGGCCGGCGGGCTTGCGGCAACCACAGTGTCTCCGCAACATGGCGGCAGCGGAAACAACAATACTACAGCGAGAATAAAAGTTACGCCTTCTTTCTTTGCGTGAACATTTGGGCGGCGTTATGCAAATCTTCCCACATCGTGACGTAGACATGTGGGGGCGTGTTAGAACAAGCCGTTTTAGGTAGGCGTGGTTGACTCTTAACTTTTATAAAGAATATCTCTTTGGATTTGAAACTTTAGTCTTTGCAACTTTACAGATCTTCTTTATGCACCAAGAGCTTGTAACACTCCAAAGAGAAAGGAAAAATTGAAATTGAAAAAGTTTACCCCAAAATGAAAATTCTGTCATCATTTACTTACCCCCATGATGTTCCAAACTGGTATGACTTTCTTTCTTCTGCTGAGCAAAGAAGAATACTATATATTCCCAACTATATTCCCAGATATTTAATATAAGTGTAATAATAGCAACATGTATATAAATGTATCTTCCTTGCTTCACCTAATAGCCTAATGTTTACTGGCTGACACATTTACTGGCTGAACTGAAAAAAATACAAAATAAAAATTAAAAAAAATCCTATTTCAGGATACTGTATTTTAAAGATAATTTTGTATAATTTTGCCTTAGCGGAAGAGTGGGGAAACATCTCACACCAAGAACTGGCAAATCTGGTGCAGTCCATGAGGATGAGATGCTCTGTAGTACTAAAAGCAGCTGTTGGCCACACAAGACACATTTCTGTTTGTAAAATGTCTGTGGAACTTGTTCAGTGTATGATTCAGATGTTTATTTCTTTATTTATGTTAATAAAAATACTTACACATGTTAAGAACATTCCACGCAGGAAGTTTTTATTTTTTTTAAATCAATTAATTAATTTATTATTTCATTATAATAAAACAAGTAAAATGTATTATCTGCGGATGGGTGTATATTTTAGCAGCTGTAGCTGGTGCAAAATTGCTTTACAAAAAAAGAAGCACTCAAAACACCGCACACTGGAGACACCTACTGGTCAGTAGATTGGGGATTGAAGTTTTCAGTATCAAAGACTCAATATATGGTTTTTACAAAGAAAAAGAAAAAGGAACAAATTACTCTGAAATTATATGAACAATTGTTAGAAAGAGTGACAGAGTTCAAATATCTTGGATTAATCTTTGATGAAAAATTAACTTGGAAGAGACATATTAAGAAAATTGAAAACAAATGCAAAGGAGTAATAAATTGCATGACTTCACCTACTGGTCAAGACGCTGTAAATACAGCCAGAATACAGCCCGTTGAGCCCAATAATGACATAATGATGATCTTTCATACACCAAGTGTACATTGCTTTATGTAACACAACATTTTCGTTTTGATACCATGTATAACTGTGGGACGAGACTGGCCAGTGATGTGTGGGTAGCTAGTTTTATAAGAAAGCACAAATAGCTGTTATGGCGACACATAGAAAGATTGTCTCTGAAAATGTGCTTGACGTGCAGCCTTTTTTACCTTTCCATTCAGAGTGATTTATTAACAGCGTTTCCACTCGCTGTCTGGGGAATGGGGGCAGAAGAATATTTGTTGCGGTACTGATCTGGCGGCTGTGAGCTTTAACCGTATTCTCTCTGCATTCTAAGTTTGGCTTGGGGATTGAGCGCTGCGATTTGGTAACTGTGATTTACTGCAGTGTACTTTCGCTAAAGGGCAGACTAGCCACTGTTTCTTGTGTATTTAGGTGTCTTTTTATTTATTTATTTTCATTTCATTTTCTATTAGATATTAGGTTCATTTGAAGGCAGTAGCTATCATTGTTTATCAGAGTCAAACGTAAAAGTTTAGCGGTAAAATGTCAATAACTCTTCTGTCATAGGCCTGCTGCGTTTATTAGCTGTTTTGGTGTCAACGTTTATACAATTGCAGCTTCTATTGTCCCTGTGCTGAATTGGCCACACAGTTTTCGTGGTCTGACGAAGAAACGAAAGTGAAAAATAAGCAGGAGGGCGTGATCAACTTTATACACTGACTCAATTCATTTCCTTGTTGACCAGAAGGATCACGATGGACGAATATCCGTATCCCATCATTGTAGAGGGAAACTGGGAGTCTGAACAAGCTAAAAGTGTGAAAAATAAACTTCAGATTTACTTCCAGAGTAAGAAGAAATCTCAAGGAGGAGACTGCGCCGTGAAATATGATGACAAGAGCAACTCTGCTACGATTCTGTTCAAATCGTCTGACAGTAAGTGCTGAACACAAAATAATTTTGTTAACAGAATAACACGTTTTTATTTAATTATTGATTAATTTATATTTTATTTAGTAATGTATAATCAAGCTGTCGAGACACTTATTTCAGGTTCAAATACAAAGCGTTAAGCCCCCTCTGTCATTTAAATACAAGTAAAGAAGTGAATACTTATTAACATATCCGACTAAAAAATTGACACACGCTGGCTCAGCAAATAATTAATAAAGCAATACCTGTAGTATGGACAAACATTTCCGAACATATAGCCTAGGACGTCCTACCGGAAGAGTTATGAGCTTATACGTCACATCATCATTAATCATTATAGTCACATTCGCTAATCACGTAAAAATTATATATAACTTACTGTGTTGTTTTGTGCTGTTCTTTGTTGTAAAGTATTGTGATCTGACTAAGTCTGATTGTTTGTGTTTAAGTTCGAGATGCCGTGCTCTCAAAGGCAGAACACATTATTACAGTTGACAATCAACAAATCAAGTTGAAAGTGTACAAACCCAGCGATGCAGAGGAACAGACAGACAGCGCTGGACAAAGAGTACGTTTTTTATTTATTTTTTACGGTTTTATGGTTAAGACATCGATACATAGTTTTTCTAAGAAGATGGTTGTCATTTCTCCAAATTGTTGAAAATGGCCGGTGTTGTGTAATATTCGGTTCCCGTGAAAAACTGTTCCAATGGGCGGGGTTAGTACGAATATTAATAGATTCGTTCCGCGGTGGGCGTGGCCTTTTGAACTACAAACAAGCGAATGGAAAGGATTGTGTTGTCTGTTCTTCAGCTCTTGTGTGATGAATTATTTTGAAAAGGTAATAAAGCCGAATGTTCATACGCCCCGTTTAGATGTACAGCTGTTTATGTTATTCACCAAAATGACTTTTTTTCCCCTTTTGGTCTCTCTTCTCTTAAATTGCATTTTAGCTCTCAGAAAACACCCATAAACAACATGTCTCAGCTGCTAATTATTTATGTTTTGAATTGTTACAAGGCTCTTGACAAAAAAGAAAAAAGGCAACAAAACAACACCAGATAACACTAAAAAATCTTTATTTGAACATGCATCTAACGACATTTGAGTTTAATTGCAGTCACTGAAAGTTATGAAAAGTTGTGAAAGTTATGATGCAGCAAAATACACAGCAACTAGGGACACAGTTTACAGCTTGAAAATAAACGACAAAAAACAATGACAGAAATGTGTTCGATTCGTGCTGTGTTTGGTGTTTAGTATCATCCACGTAAGCTACACAGCAAAACACTGTCATATGGCCATGATACAGCGTTCTGATAAAAGCACATGCGAAACAATAAGGATTTTAGCCTATGTGAATAAGATAAACAGCTGTACATCTAAACTGGGCGTATGAACATTCGGCTTTATTACCTTTTCAAAATAATTCATCACACAAGAGCTGAAGAACAGAGCACAATCCTTTCTATTCGCTTGTTTGTAGTTCAAAAGGCCACGCCCACCGCGGAACGAATCTATGAATATTCGTACTAACCCCGCCCATTGGAACAGTTTTTCACGGGAACCGAATATTACACAACACCGGAAAGACTGAATAACTAACCCTTCTTCATTAGTTCTCCATTTATATAACTGTAAATACTTTATGCTTGTGTGGTTTCAGATGGACCAGGGGTGTGGATATCAGGAACCGAGTAAGTAAATCATCTGAACTTTGGTCTCTGGCTAATTACATACATGCGGTCTTTTATTGGTTAAGTTTTTGTGGATGTACTTATTAACATTCATTTTAAACGGTAAAGATATCAGTTAGGTAGTTAATTGGTACATTTGTTTTTTATTTATTTATTTTTGGTTATGTTTGTTAGCTAGCTGACACTGCTAGGTGGCATTGCAACAAATAATTTGCATTGGAATTTGATAAATATGTGTCACTTTTATTATGTCTAAAGCTCAAAGTGCCTCTCAGACTGATGTGAATGTGAAGAAGCCTCAAGAGTCAAGTGCTGTGGTCCTGGAGAACCTTCCAGATGATATCAAACAAGATGTTTTAAGTCTTTTGGTGGAGAACATCAGCAGTCTTTCTGAAAATGACTTTAGCGTAGAATTAATACCAGAATTAAGAAAAGCAGTTGTGACTTTTAAAAATCCCAGTGGTAAGTTTTACTGTAAAATATAAATTCCTTTGTATGTTTTATCATAATTTAAACATGTTTTACAAATTAAAAGTTAATTTAGTAATCTTGATTACATGACACTTTACATGGTGGTCTTTTTTTGGACAGGGGAAAGAGTTTGTGTATCTGAAAATTTAATTTTTGATAATTTGCCAAATTAATGTTTTTTATGTTTTATTAAATGTGTCTGGCACATTTAAAAAAAAAAAATTTCTTACAGCTGCAGAAAAATTCCTTGAGGACAGCAGGACACATGAAAAGTTCAAGAAGAAG